GATGCCCTCAGGCTGCCTCTTCACACCGGCTCCCTCTGTGCATGCGCCCCCTAGTGTCTCTTCTTTGTGTGTCCAAATTTCCTTTTACAAGGACGCCAGTCAGGTTGGATGAGGGCCCACCCTAACCATCTCATTTTAACTAATCACCTCTTTAAACATCCCATCTCCAAATACAGTCACACTGGAGATACTGGATGCTAAGACTTCAATATATGAATTTTGGGGGACACAATTCAGTCCTTAGCAAAGACCTTGGCATTTTACTTGCTTAACAAGGAAACTATTTGAACAAACCAAAGTAATAGAATGCATCAACTTTGTGGCATTTTCAACCCTCCAATTACTTTTCACTTTTCCCTGCTGCACCCATATCCCAGCCCGAATGACCTGAGAGGGAACAACCCAGGTTGTGTCACTGGCGAGTACTGTACACAACAGCCAGCTCTTAGCTTTTACTATGAAGAGTCCTTGCGACAAAAATGTTCCCGGGGGCAGCCTCTTATTTCTGGAATGCTTTAGAATCTGTTAAGGACTTCCACCAGGCCAACCAAGATGTTATCTTTTTCCACTCCAAATAGGAGATCTACGCTAGTGCTTAAGCCTTGCTCATATTATAAAATCTCCAAATTGCTTTTAGTTCTTCTCTCTTAATTACGAACTGACAGCCAATGATCAACAGATGTATTAGGAAAACCTCTAAAACGAGAGAGAAAAACCACAGTAAAAACAGACAATGTAGGAAGTGTAAGAAAAGCCTATTATAATTAATATCATTAGACAGATAAGAGATTCCTTTCATGAAACAAGGATATGATATTATTTAAAAACATGCAAAGAACGAGAAAGAGCTTTTGCACATTAAAACACATAATAGCATAAATTAAAAATTCAATATTATGGGCTGGCCCAGTGGTGCAGCAGTTAAGTGTGCACGTTCTGCTTTGGTGGCCCGGGGTCCGCTGGTTTGGATCCTGGGTGTGGACCTACATACTGCTTGTAAAGCCATGCTGTGGCAGGCGTCCTGCATCAAAGTAGAAGAAGATGGGCATGGATGTTAACTCAGGGCCAATCATCCTCACCAAAAAGAGGAGGATTGGTAGCAGATGTTAGCTCAGGGCTAATCTTCCTCAAAATAAATAAATTAATTAGTTAAATAAAAATTCAATAATAAGGCAGAAAATAAAGTCAAGAAAGTTTCACAGAAAGCAAACATCAAAGACCAAGAAACAGAAACTATGATAAAGAAGGTAAGAAAATTAGAATGTCATGGAGGATATCTAATCTAACTAATAGGTATTCTAGAAGAGAGGACAGAAAAGAAGGGAGGAGGAAATGACCAATGGAATACTCTAAAGAGTTTCTTAAAACAAAGCGTGTGGTTTTAGATAGAAAGGCCCATAAGCACTCAGCACAATAGATAAAGACCCAAGTCAAGAAACTTCATAAAACTTGACGTATCAGACATGAAGAGAGATCCCCAAATTGTCTAGGGTGAAAAACATGTCACACACACACAAAAGTGGAAATCAGAATGGCACTGGCCCTTTTAACAGTAATACCGTAATGTAGAAGATAGTGGAGCAAGATCTTCAAACTTCTAAGGATTTTGAATCAACAATTCTAAAATTATCAATTAGGTGAGTAGGTAACACAAATTCTTAGACACGCAAGTTCTCAAAAAAAAATTTTGGAAATTAGGTAAAGTAGGTGGGTGGCATGTCCTTTCATTGTCGTTTGGGACCAAAGGCTATGCACAGATACTGAGCCTGGGCAGTATCATCCTCAAGGGGATACAAATTAGTTCTTGGAGGGCAAAAATATCTTAGCTGTTAGAATAGTTTGTGGTCCTCCAAAGCTCAGCCTTACTCTACCCTTAACTAAAGAATTAAATAAAAATTCTTTATATTCAATTTCTCCTTTTGAATTTTCTTGGCTATCACACCAGCAGCATTGACGTTGAGTTCATGGGAGAGACAACAGGTGCAGGCAGTGCTACAAAACCAAGGTGAGTGGATGGCTGGACCGAGGAACTGTCTCCGGATGGAATGCTTGGTCTCAGAGCCCTGCAGTGAGAGGTGGCCGGCTCCTGCCTGTGCGCTGCCTTGTTGACGGTGTCTGTGGTTGATGCTTTGTGTGCCTTGGACTTTGAGAATTAACTAAAAATAGTTTATATTCTAATATTTGATTCTACAAAAGTTATTCAGCCCATCATTAATCATGTCAAGGTCTTAAGAGAAAAAATGTCCACATTATTTAAATAGATATCTGGAAGCTAGTTAAAAGCTATTTTTTAATGTCAATCAGAATTTAAAAGTTAGCTTCACTAAAAATGATTTTTATAAAATGAATATAATTTTGCCTAGTTTTACTCCTACTGAAAGTAGCAGTTTTGCGCTATTTAAAAAAAAACTCTGATTGCATTGTTAAATATGCACATAAATGGCTAGTTTGCATATGTAATTAATAATTACTATTTATATAAGTAAATAAATTACATTAGAAGTTAGAGTAGTTCCTCCCCTTATCTGCAGGGGATTTGTTCCGAGGCTCACAGTAAATGCCTGAAACAATGAATAGTTTTTATTATTCAATTCATAAGTTTTCAATTGCACAACATTCTGAGTAGTGTGACAAAATCTTGAGCCGTCCTGCTCTGTCCTGCCTGGGACATGAACCATCCCTTTATCCAGTGCACCTGTGCTATATATGCTACCTGCCCATTAGTCACTTAGTAGCTGTCTCTGTTGTCAGATGGACTGTCATGATATCCCAGTGCTTGCATTCAAGGAACCCTTATTTTACTCAATAACGGCCCCAAAGTGCAAGAGCAGTGATGCTGGCAACTCAGATATGCCAAAGAGAAGGCATAAAGTGCCTCCTTTAAGGGAAAAGGTGAAAGTTCTCAACTTAATAAGGAAAGAATAAAACCGTATCCTGAGGTTGCTAAGATCTGTGGTAGCTTTTATTACAGCATGTTGTTATAATTGTTCTATTTTATTATTATTGTTTTTAATTCTTACTGTGCCTAATTTATAAACTAAACTTTATCACAGGTAAAGGATCTGTATAGGAAAAAACATAGTATATATGGGATTTGGATATAGCACAGATAAACAGTATGTACATCGACAGATATACAGTGTATCTATGGTATTAAAATTTCATAATTAGAAAGTATATCTTAAAATGCTCCTTAGAGAGGAGATAAGAAAAAATATTGAGAGACACTGCTCTAGGGAAAAATATTCATTTGATTCATGATTTACTATTGATTAAAGTTCTCAGATTCAGTGACATTACATGTTAATAATTAGATTTTTGTCTGGTAGAGATATAAATAATTTCTGTCCCATCCACTGGAAAAAATGACCCCGCTCCCAAATTATGGTTTATAGCCCAATGGGCATTAACCAAATTCACATCTAACCCAGTAACCTTATCTTCCTGTTAATATCTAGCTCCTCAAATGCTCTTTGAACTGGCCATTGCATCTTACTTTGACATGTGTTCATTTTGTATTTGCATAAAGGTCATGATTTTATCTTTGTGAAAATTACACTTGAATGCCCTTTATTTTCTCAGAGAGGATGTTGAGGATGTGTTCTATTAAAATCAGGGAATAAAAAAAAAAATCAGGGACTAAACCAAGAACAAAGGAGCTATGGGAGCCCGGAGAGAAGGGATCCCACATAAGAGAGAGGGGAGGGGTTTCTCATTCTGCGGGAGGAGGGAACTTCTAGGATGACAACCCTGTGGCAGGCCCAGAGAGCAAAGCTTCCAGATTGGAGCAAGATGATAGAGGGCTCCCCAAGAAAAACATCAAACTGAGGGATCACTTAAAGTGTCTGGATTTATTAAGAGAAGTTTCAGAGTTCTGTCCAAAAGTTTAGAACAGAATTAGCGATAGGCACGAAGAAAGTTAAACGAACTCCAAAATAAGAATTTCAGGAAACCAACAAAGTTGTGCAAGAAAAGTCATCCATTAGCTTACTACGTGTCCCCGCTGTGAATAATATGTAAATAGATGTAATAATGTAAATACTGAATATTGATTTACCTCCCGAAATGTGATATAACTATAATTGGGGAGAATTTGTGTGTGAGAGGAAGGTGAGGAGAGTAAGTAGTTTAAATCCCCTACTCTAATAACAAGGGAAAAGATAATGTGGAAATTTGATAAATCAAGAAATACTGATGTAAACATTTGTGATAGTCTTTTGATGTGTCAATTGACCAGGCTACAGTCCTCAGTTACTCAATCAAACATTAATCCAAGTGTTACTGTGAAGGTATTTTATTGGTGTAAAGTCCATAGTCAGTTGACTTTAAGTAAAGGAGATTATCCTAATGTTGATGGGCTTGATTCAATCAGTTGAAAGGATTTAGGAACAGATCTGAGGGTCCCTGAAAAAGAAAATTCCACCTGTGTACAGCACATCAGCTCATGCCCAGGAGTTCTAACCTGACCTTCCTGATGGCCTGCCCTATGGATTTCAGGCTTGCCTAGCCAGCCGCCACATTCACATAAGTCAAGTCCTTGCAATAACCTCTTAATAAATATCTTCTACTAGTTCTGCTTCTCTCGTTGAACTCTGACTGATAGAACATATCACTTCAAAATATACAGATGAATCGTCAGACACAAATGTAAAACAATTAAATGTATTTACTGAGTTAAGGGCTGGAAGATGAAGAGTTTTAAATGTTATTGAACACAATAAAAATTAAATTTAAGAAAGAGAGAAGGAGGCCTAGTTGTTATTGGTGGCCACCTTTCCCTTTGCTCTTTAGAAGCAGCTCACATGATATGCCATGAAATATTTGTAAAGTTGGTGAAGGCTAGTTTCACGTATTTATACATACTTCCAATCCCTCCTCCCATCTGGTCCCCCTTCCCCTCGACACGCACTGATTCAGTTATTCCTTGTTCTCAACTCTCTTCTTTTCCACACTTTTGACTTTGCATTAACCCATATTAGTATAACCTGTTCTTGTTGCAGGGGAAGCATGGAAGAAAATTGGCAGAAGGATTTGTTTTGATGAGTAGGGAGGTGAAGAAAAGCCTGGAAGTGCAGAGAGCTTCTCATTGGTTGTTCATTATGGGGAGACGTAGAGAACAGGTCAGGAGGGCTCAGCTGCTGAAGATCCTGCTTCCAAAATAAGGGAAATCATCAGAGTCCAGAGCTCAGCAGATGATGGACCCGTGGAGACAAATGAAGTCAGGTGAAATCTCTTGGAAGAGAGAATGTCTAAGTACAAGCATCCCTCCTCACTCAAGAAAGCCTACTCTTATAGACAAAGAGCTATTGGTCAGAAAGAGAAGTGAACTGGGCAGAGCATTTTTAACCAAAGGCTGAATTCTTCCTGCAACCTAAGTCCCAAACTCCGGACACAACTGCTCTGACTCCTGAGGTTCTCATGGAGCTGGAAAGCAGATAAATGGAAGAGGTGGTCCAGCATTTCGACTGAACATGGACATTTGGATGCTATATGTTTAATATCTAGTGACATAAATCAATGTGCAGGTTTCAGTGTATCACACTTTCCAGCTTCTAGGCAACGATCTATAATACCAAATATTCCACCCTCCACCTACCAGGTGATTGGGGCCTCTCTCTCCAAGCAAAGATGGCAGGGATTGGGAGGTGGGGATGGGCCTCTTGGAAGAAGCGCAGATTTTAAAAAATATATACCATTCTATATGTTAGAACTTTTCATACATGTAGTTATAACTCTATATGCTGTTTTGTAAATTTTTCACAATATAACATGAAAACAATAAACTATAAATCATTAAATAATTCATTCTATAAATATTTTTTGATGATCTCCTGTAAATATTTTTTGAAGTTAGTGCGAGAAAAACTGCTGCCACCCTAGTAGCTCTGAGTTCTAAAAACTGTTTTGTTTCTTGGGCATAATCTAGCAGTAACATATTGCTGCTGAGGATCTAGGTATTGATCTTGGTTAATTCCATTGACCCTTTCTAACGCACTGCCATTTTCCCTAATAGATGAGAGAAATCTATTTTTATAGTTATGGCTATATCGACCTGTCTAAAATATATAATTCATATATAAACTGATACTCTAAGAAAAAACAGAACTTCCCATTGACACTTTTTAGTGAGAGCATAGATCAACTGCAAAATCCAGGGATGGCTTCTTATTTTCAAGTTTACCTGAGAATGTAAACATTTTCATCTTTTGGTTGAAATTTAGACTAATTTATTTAGAAATTTGAGTCATACCTTAGTGATTTAAGAACAAATTTATTCAGCACGTTGTTTACTGAATAATTACTGTATGCCAGGTCCTTTGCTACACTCTGGAAATAAAAGTGGAGGGAAAAGTGACTTGGGAGAAAAGAGTCATATAAGTAAATAAATCACAATGTAACACAGTAGGAGCTTTTTTGAAGAAGATTAGCCTTCAGTTAACATCTGCCGCCAAGCCTCCTCTTTTTTTTTTTTTTTTTTTTTTGCTGAGGAAGACTGGCCCTGACCTAACATCCATGCCCATCTTCCTCTACTTTATATGTGGGACGCCACCTCAGCATGGCTTGACAAGCAGTGCATAGGTCCACACCCGGGATTTGAATCAGCGAATGCTGGGCTGCCAGAGCAGAACATACAAACTTGACCACTGTGCCACTGGGCTGTGCCAGTAGGAGCTATTAAAGCAACTTGAATATAGTGTGATGTGAGGATATACCTTAAGGTCAACTCACATTAGGAGGCCACATTTAAAAAATGTATTTTTTTATGAGATACTAAAAATGTAAATGAAGCTCACTTTCCTTATTTACCCAGAAACTTCAAGAAGGTTGGTGGATAGCTTCAAGAACTCACAACTTTGTGAGTCCCGAAAGGAGTGAAGTTGCCTAAGGAATAGCATTCAGCTGAATAATGGTTAAAAAATTATACAGAATACCAGAGAGAGATGAAACGATATTCCACCCGGCAGCTCAGGTGCAAACTTCATCAGTAGCAGGGTGGGGGTAGCGTTGGAAGATGGAACAGAGATATTATTACTCAAAATGTTAGAGTGTTAATATACTTTTGCTCAGGACCAGGGAAGGAGGGTGCCTTTTTGGGGAGGGAAAAGGCACTTTGGGGGTCTGTGTGGCTTTGAGGATGGAGATATCTTTATTTAGAGGCAAATTTGGCTGTAGTGAATTACAGGGAAGATGAGGAGAGGGACTCATAGCTAAGGAGAGAGTGGAAAGCAAGGCGTTGTTTCCCTTTTCATTTCCTTTTTAATTACTGGGTCAATTCACTAATTAGGAAAAGAGCCTGGAATTTGGAGGTCCAACCATGATTCTGTGCTTCAGAGAAGGCACTTTGTGGTTACAAAGATTGTATCAGTGGTAAAAGATCCCCATAAGTAAATAATACTAGATATAATTGGAAGAGTAACTTGTCACCTAAAGTTGTCTAATTTGCATCCAAGAAATAATTTAAATAATGAAAGTCACTAGCTTAAAAAAAAGATCCATGAAAACGTTAAAATGTATGTGACTATATTTGGCAAGATGTTTTGTAGTTGAGAAAACTATGCCCCATATACTTCACAGATACAAAAATACAAACTAGCACAAAGCATGTAATTAGATTTTAAAATGACAAATAGGGAAATAGTACTGAAAATATCTAGTCAGGCTAAAGAAAAACTACTTGCAATGAGAGAGACGAGAAAAAACTTTTCTAAACTGTGGCAGTTGCTTATGAACCTGTCGGTACTATTAACAATACAGAATGGTTATTTTGACAGGGCAAATGCTGTCAAGTTAGCTTTAGAATAGTAAAAATAACTTTGGCTTTGGAAACTGAACGACATGCATTTGAACCTTAGTTTTGTCGTCTTCCTAGCTGTGTGAGGACCCAATATGACAATGTTTGGGGAATGTGCTATAACAGGTAAAGACCAATACAAAAGAAGAGCTTTGGGTATTAAAGGCATTGTTTCCAGAAAAGTGGATGGAGTCCATAGATTAAATGAAAAGAGGACACCACTGCTTAAGCAGAAGAGAACCAATACGCCATACTGAAATTGAAGGCATTTTTTTTAGTAGTGTTGTAGAATTGTTTTTCAGATGTAGCATTTGTGGTAGGCAGCCCTTAAGATGTTCGCTAATGATCCCCACCTCCTGGTATTCACATCCTTGTGTAGTCCCCTCTCACATTGTACCAGGGATGAACTGTGTCCAATAGAATATGGCAGAAGTAATGGCACGTAAGTTCTGAGGGTAAGTGAAGAAGACACTGTAGCTTCTCTGTCTCTGTCTCTGTCTGTGTTTATGATCATTCACTCCACAGGAAGCCAGCTGCTGTGTTGTGAGCTGCCCTATGGAGAAGCCCATGTGGTAAGGAACTGAGGCGTCGGAGCAACAGTTGCATGAGTGAGTTTGGAAGCAGATCCTTCAACCCAGCCAAGCCTTCGGATGACTTCAGCCATAGTGAACTAAAACGTCATGAGACCCTGAGCCAGAACCACCTAGCTAAGCTACTCTTGGATTCCTGACCTCAGAAACTGTGTAAGATAGATGTTTCTTGTTTAAGCTGATAAATTTGGATATATGCATATATGTATATATTTATATAGTTTAGTAATATATCAACCTGGCTGAGCTAAACTACATAAACTACATTTACCAGAATTCCCTTTTCTGTATGTTTCCAGTTTCCTTGGGCCACAAGAGAAATTCTTGTGAGAATGGAAGTGAAGTGGCAGCCATATTGTAGCACACGCATGTTGTCTCCTATCTGCTGACACACCCTGTTGGGGTGAGGCAGTCGCTGGGCCTGTAACTGCTCCACCTTCTCTTGGATCCTTCATCAGCTTCTCTAGCACTTGAGCTAGGTGTTTATGTTTACTTCTGTGAAGAAGAACCTGGCTTCCACGTCACCAATGTCAAAGGCAGCATGAACTGATTTAGGTTTCAGTCTGTCCTCATGGGTTCTAGCTCATGCCTTTGGGTCCAAATGGTCCTTGTTTTCCCCAACTTTGCATCCCTCTTTCCTTCCTCACTGCTTCCTTGTGCACTTTAAGCTCCAGCTTCAGATGTGAAGACAACAGTCTTCTGGAGACTGCTTAACCAACTTAACCAGTTGAGTAAGGTCCAACCTTTGTAACTAATTCCTATGTATGTTTACCCAAAAACATATGTGCATCTATATCTATACATGTGTGTATGTGTGTATATGTACATGTGTGTATATGTACATGTGTGTATATGCATGCATGCACTTGGTTCTGGCTATGTGGGATCCATCATGATGAAAGTAATGATAATTTTTGCTGACATGTTTAAATTACAGTTCATGTAATTGATTATTTTTTCTCACTTCCGGTTCTCCCAACCCCAGTTTTCTATCCTTTCTCCCAGTGATGCTACAAGGTAAATAGTTATTGTACTACATCCTCTAGGAGTAAAATCTAAATACTCTTGTAAATGAAACCTGATAACTGAAATTATAATAACTCAAATGACATTAAAAGGGGGAAGATATTGAAAATTTCAAGCATTTAAGAGGAGAGGTGAAGGTGAACCAAAAGTTCAATGAGATTTTCACTTCTGCGCCTTGCTTAGAAGTGGAAAGAAGAGCCTCCTTTGCCTTCCTCTGCTCTCCTTCCAACAGCTGACCTATGGGATAGGGCTGGAGCTCATCACACACCCACGAGGACAGTCTGCTCCTAGGTCAAGCCTCACACTTGGCTGTTTTTTGTGTATACAAAAGGAGTATATGTGCTTTCTTCCCTATGAAAAAGACATGGTTGTGGGAAGTATTGCTTTGTTTTTATAACTGGAAATATTGTAGCGTGTGATTTTTAGAGGAGGAATTGATATTTTTTTTGATATCCACCGTGTGGATGAGATTGTGCTGGTACTTTACATCTCCTGTTGCGTTTAATCCACAGAACAAAGCCATGAGTTCGGGACCGCCACCAGTATTTCACAGATGATCAGACAGGCTCAGAGAATTTAAATTTACTTGCCTGTAGACATAGAGCTGGCAGGCCTGTCAGACTTTAAAGGAAATGCTCTTTCTGTAAAACTGCACTGCTCCCTTTACAGAGACCTCAATTCTGACAAGAGTAATTATAATAATGGCCTAATTTCCTCATTGGTCTGAAGAGAATGTGGATCTGCTGGAAATGTTTTTACATGTCCTACGTGTAGTTGCGTTCAACGCTCCAAGAATGTTTACATATAACATACGTTGTGAGCCCTGCCTTCTCGAAATCAGTTCTCTCAAGAGGTAGCATAGCACTGAGATAAAGAACATGAGTTCTGAAGTTGAGCTGCATGAGTTCATAGAAGTAGTTCCACCACTTTGTGACGCTGGGAAAATTACTCACGCCCTCTGTGCTTCAGTTATCTCATCTTTAAAAGAGATCTAATAGTAGCACCCACATCTTAGTATCATTAGGATTAGATTACACATTTTTTCAAAAATCATACATGCACACAAAGAGCACTTACTATGGGCTAGACATTATTTCAGTGTCACGCATACAATAGCTCGTTTTTTACTTCTCTGTAAGACAGGCCTTGTTAGTATTTCCATTTTGCAGGTGACGAAGCTGAAGCACTCAGAGGGGAAGCAATTTGCTCAAAGTCACCTATTTATTAAAGCCCAGGAGTTTGGCTTTGGAGTTTATGACCTTAACCAGTAGATAACCTCTCAGGGACTTAGCAGAGTGCTTGGCACAAAGTTAACTCTAATTAATAGTTCAAGTTTCTCCCAGTGACCTGGCTCATTAAAATACGTTAAACGTGCTCCTGAGCGCTAGCTCACACCTGTGAAGGGGCAGTTGCTGTTCCTCAAGTTGAGCCTGTGAGGAATGTGCTCCCGGAAGTCAGATGGCGGACTCCCCTAAGTATGCTCCACAGTGTATCTGAGTACACCATACCGATGAGTGCTAGTTCCCATTTTGCATGAAAGGGTAAGAATTAGTTGCTGAATGGATTGGCGACCAGCAACAAGCTCCAGTGAAAGGCTTTTGGAAGTATCCACTTAAAAGATTTTGCTTGTCTGATGTCACATTATCTTTTTATTTTGGAAAATCCTGTCTTTTACACTACTCTGGAAAAGCCGTGGTGCCCCAAGAGAAGGGATGTGTGAATAATCACCATCTATATTATCACCTTCTTTGAAATAGAAAGCAATCCTTGGAACGCTATTTTTCTCTTAAGACCCAATTGCTTACATATGTTCATGTATGCTGTGGCATTGTTATCAATCATACCACTGGTTATTTATTTGTATCAAACGGATGCCATCAGTGTCTGACTGACTCCTCATAATATCGCAGATACCTAGAGCAGAACCAGCACATATTACACACTCAATTAGTATGTGTAGACTTCTTGGTTTTTAAACTGTCTTTACCATGAAGTCAATAGGTAAAGCAATAGAGACATGTCTTATAGATTAGTGGTTCTCAAAATGTGTACCCACACC